ATAGTAGATACAGTAGAGGCTGTAGACCCTGTATACAGTTGCAAAGTGAGAGGAAATACTGCTTTTAAGGCTAGTGTGGCTTCACTGAATGTTAAAGGTCACTGGCGCTGACTAGTTAACTACGATAATATACAGTTGGTCAGTAGAGAGCAAGGCTTCATAATGTTTTCTGTTGTTAGTCTGGCCAGTTTGGGACAGTGATAAGCTTTTATTGAAGTTTCTCATGAATGAGTCACCGACCATTTTGCACTAGTGCAGAATCCAAATTTACACTCTCCAGACTTACGGGCTTTAGTCATGTCTTCATTTTTATCTTATCAAGTTTGATGTGTATGGTCATAATGCACAGTAAAATTTCCCATTACATAAGATACCAAACACCATATTATAGTATACTGTATCATCATTAAACCATCAGTTGAGGTTTCCTCACACCAGTGATTGACGAAAATCATCCTTTGCTCCTGGTTTTGCAGACTATAATAAATCTGTACTGTAGCTCATAAGCTTCCAGAGAATGTGGATGTTAAGTCCACAAGTCAACAAGCGCAGTGAAGTACAGGTATTCAGCTTAGGTCTTAGTATGAACTTTTGGCATTGGACACTAGGGATATAATGATACCAGAAACTCGGGGTACGATACTGCTGGGACAAAAAGTCCACGATAGGTTATTTGTTGTGATATTTAAAAAGATGGAAAAATGCCCTTACTAAATAAATAAATCAGCATTTTTGTATCATCTTCCTTTTAGCTTAAAGTGTTCCTGCTTTCCTTCTTTATTTAAATAAAGAAATTAAAATTAAATTAAAATAAAAGTAGGCAGCCATGACCTAAGCATGACCAGTTGGGTATCCCCGGCCACCGGGGGCAGGATTGAGCAAATTGCTGCTTTATTTGCCCATCTTTGTTAAAATGTCTTATCCCGACTGTTTCTGTGAGATGTATCCAGAACTGTCTCAGTCCTAAACGGGAATAGCTTTGCTTTTATCCAGCAGTATTTGCAAGTTGTTTGTAGTTTCTTTTCCGCCCATGTCATTTCTTGAAATGGCAAAAATGAAATGCTGCCACACAACAGCTTTAAAAGTCGATGGAGCACTTGTCATGCCAGTTTGATGCTAGTGTGATGAAGGCAGTTATACTAGTGAAACAATCACTAACCCCCCCGTTGCTTTTTAGCTCCATCCACTCAGGTTAGCTGAACCTTCCTTATTATTTGGGCCTCCTCAGCATCTGCCACAAATGTTTATAGCTTTTCTACAACTCCAACTCAGCAAATACCTAGTTGTCTTACAGATGTGTGTGATATATGCTGAATAGACAGAAAAGAATAATTGTTCTGTATAGAATCAGGAGTAGGACCCTGGGATGCTCTTCTACCCCCATGTTGTCATTTCAGACAGTTATAGACCCAGGAATGGTGAAAAGCAGCTGCTCCTCTGACCATAAAGACCTGAACTGAGCCCTTAATTGCTCCAGTGTAGAGAGGGAATTATTTCCACCCAGGACCAGGAGATGAGGAAAGAAGAGGAGGGGCAGGATGGATGGCAAGGTGTGGGCAGATTTTGGCACAGGCACCTGAGGGAGTGGGCGGCAGGTTGAGAAGTCTCCCTCATTCACAGCTCCTCTGAAAGCCAAAGACTTGAGACTGAAACTGGGTCATGAGTGAAATCATGATGCTGTGTATGGGTTTTGAATGTTGTATGTAGGCTGGTACTGTGCATGTTCATCTTTTTTATTTTAAAATCATTTATTCAGGGTACAGTAGTGCTATTCAGATTTAGACTAGAATAGTTCCATGTATTAGTCTTGGTAAATGGCATCCGGCATAAAACCATGCCAAATTACTCGTGCAAATTGGATTTGCTGTGGCGACCCCTAACGGGAACAGCCGAAAGTAGAGTAGTAGATTGGTCTCGGTAAATGCAAGTTTGTTCAACTTGCAGGTTATATTTCAATACATCTTAAAGAAATTTGTGATCAACAATTTAACCAGTTACCTCTCTGGTGAAAGCAACCTAACCATTGGCTAAAAGATAGGTTTGGATTTTTTCTTCCAAGTTTATCTTAATTCAGTACTCACGTTGAAAGTGTTAAGATCCACTATTGTTATTCCTCCTCTATAGTACATATCAGCTATGAAGTGGTACTTGAGCGGAGTGGCTACACTTTAAGGCTGGAGTTATGCTTCTCAGAGTGAGGAGTACAAGATGGGCAGTGATATTAAATGTCTTGAAAAGGAATTTAGTTGATGAGACCTGAGTATTGTATTGAGATATATTTGCAAAAGTCAGAAGCAGATTTTTAAAACTACCTGAAAACAACCACAAAATGCTGACAATATTTATGTAGCTTCTGATATTTTCTTGTGGCTTTTTAGAGGAAATGGTGCAAAGCCCCCATCTGGACCTTTTTTGCTTTTTTAAATTTATCAGGACTTGGTCTGTAAAGAATGATTACTTTTCAATGAATTAATCAATAACATCCATCCATCCATCCATTTTCTAAACCGCTTAGTCCCAAACGGGGTCACGGGGGGCTGGAGCCAATCCCAGCCAGCTGCGGGCGAAAGGCGGGGTACACCCTGGATAGGTCGCCAGCCCATCGCAGGGCCTAATCAATAACATAGTTTATAAAAACTCCTAAACCTAAATTTTCTGAAGGAGACCTCTTCAGATTTCTTGTTTTATACATCCAACTGCATAAAAGCCAATGATATGCAATGTTAAGTGTTAAAACAAATTACTTGCTTATCATAAATCTAATGAAATCAGTTAATCATTTTGCACATTATTCCAATGCTGTTAATCTGCATTGTTTACATGTTTTTTGATTCCTCACCTGACCCACAAACACACACAAAGCTTCCATGACTGTTAAGAGTCCTAAAACGTTTACTGGTGTCACTCCTGATAATTCTGCTACTAGCTAATGATACAGAAATCTCTTCTAGTCATGGTGTTACTACTGATAGTCTTACCACTGGTAAAACTACAGCTACCACTGCCACTGTTGCTGCTACAGCTGCTCCCACATGTTCAGAGCTGTAACAACCACTCTTTGCTTATGTTTTACAGCTTGGTTAAAGCCATTTCCATTAAAGGCCTTTTCCAGACACCATATCTGGTGTCTGCGTGTATGTGTTTGTGTGTTCATCTGTCTCTCTCGCTCATCTCTAGAGGTGAGCTCTAGGTTGCTCCCCATATTAGTTTGCTTTCCACTTAATGAGGCGGCGGAGCATGAAGGTCCAAGCACTTCTAAATGCTGCGTTCATTAAACCAATGGTGCTTAATGATGACAGCAAAGGCACCCGCGACCCGCCGGCTCCTACTGAGGGCGACCATTAGCGTTAGAGCCAGCCAGCTGGGGGGAGACAGCAACAACAACACTGTCACAAGGACGCTTAGCCTCTGGTTAACGGCCGCAGCAGAGCCAGAGAAAAATACAAAATGTGAACAAGCTTTTACATGATGTGATATGGGCTCAGTCATTGTAGTTATTCATTTTATTAGTGGAGTTGAAACTAATTACTGTTTTCATTAGTGGTTAATTTGTCAGTTGTTTTCTGGATTAAAGCTACAATGTGTAGTAATTTTCAAATTTTCTTTTAGTAGAAACATCCCACAAAACGGGGAGAGGTGCTGTCGAAGGCTCCTGTAACCCAGACTCATCAGACAACCTGGCTTCAGTGCAAAAGTATTCCCTTCTAAAGGTTTTCGAACGAGATAACACTCTCTAACCAGTTAGAGAAGGCCACCGTCAGGGGTGGGAGCTCAGGGCTGTAAGTCAGCATGCCAACTGTCTGGCAGGCTAGCAAGCTGCTGATTCCAGTGTTAGGTGAGACAGCTACATGAAAATGAAGGTCAAGAAATGAGAGTTTTGAAGAGAAAGAAGAAAAGAAAACAACAAAATTGGATTTAGACCATAAAGTTAGATCAGCACAGCTTTCAGCTTGTAACTAAAACATGCCAGAACATGTCATTTGTCTTCCTCGTTTGACTGTAACAGTAGCTGGCTAAGCTAAGGATGTCACTGTGTTGCTACTTTCAGTTATGACAATCAGACAACTACATCTCAGCAAGTTCATTCAAAAGCCACCTGGTTGCTCTACCACAGCTGTCAAATCAGTCTGTGACCGTGAATTACATTATTTTAATACCCACCAATTGAATGTGTAGTCTCCACTGACTGTGACTTGCCCTCTCGCCACCCTGCTTTGGCGCCTGCTGCAGCTGCAGTACATCAACAGTGTGTTTTAATCAGTTTCAGACGTTTTTTTGAACAGCATGTGTCCTAATGTATATTTCAGGACACAGTCGTTCACAAACTGTGCTGGCTGTAAATGTGTCATCCGCCTGTCCTGTAGTGGAAGTTCCTATACAGTTGTGCTGTGTTTACTGTAGACATGAAGCAGTGCAGTCAGTTCTGTGAATTACATTACTTTAGCGCCTGCTAACTTTCTGAATTTCTCTTCAAACTGTGACACAGTGTGACCAGTTTCAAGTACACGAAGGGTCAGGTGGAGCGAGCAGGAAGAGGGCGGGCTGGGCGGAGCAGAGACTGATCTGCTGCCAATGCATGGCTTAGCGTGCGAATGCTAGCTAGTTTTTCAAGTGCTACACATTTCACCTTTAATGACTTAATCCTTAGAAATTTCAGAAAATATCAGTCCCTATAACTCAAGTTAACATCCTTAAAGAATGTGTTTTGTCTGATTTAACAGGGTAAAATGAAAACTAGTACAAGGATAAAAGCTAAGAAACACAGCAAATCCTTACATTTGAGAAGCTTGGACCAGCCAATCTTTAAATTTCTGCTGAATGTTTAATTATTAATTACCAAAGTAGTGGTGTGGCTGATTATTTACAGGTGATTCACTAATTTTATTCATTTCTATAAAGAGTATTTTCAGGGATTTTTGGGGAGATGTTTATCTTGATTGACAGGGCTTTTAAACTCATTACTGAAAACACACAAATCTTGGATAACTCTCATTTACCGACTTATTTTCACCAACATGGTGCCGAATCTCCAGCTGGGCTCCATTAAAATTACTGCAAAAGATGAAGGAGCAATAAGATGACGTGTTTTAAAGAGTACCGGTCAAACCTCAAACAGTGGAAGACCTGATGGAAATGGCATTTATGTTTGTTCCATGTATTCATTTGAGGATGTTTTTGTCACTAGCTACAATTTTTGTTGCTTCAGTGGAGCAGAAGCTGCAGTGGGCACGTGTTTCATGTATGTCATGGTATATCTGCAGAGTCTCCTTCACTGAGGTTTTGCTATATCAGTACACCAGCTTGTTCATCTCTACCATTACAACTTCAGTTTTTAAAAATTGTTTATGTGCAGATTGAAAACAAATATTGGTACTGTAATAAGCCACATACTCCATTCAGAAGCCCTTGTTTGCCCCCTTCCCCCCCCCCCTGAACAGAGGTTTAATGCTAAAGACTGAGTACTCCATCAAAGCTACTTCATCTGCTGTTTAACAACAGCCTTCTGGAAAGACAAGTCCACTCTTCAGTCCAATGCTCAGCTCTGTCTTTTGCTTTAACTTGTGTGTGGCCACTTTATTGCATAAATGAAGCAAGCATGCACATGCACAAGCGTGTGCATGCGCTCACATGTGCGCACACACATACACACAGGCTGCCTTTGATTTCCACGCAGCCCTCAGAGGACACACTAATGTATCCAAATATATTTACAACAGATGTTGCATTTTATTTTTCATGATAAAAACCCATTTCAGAAAATTTACTTCATAATGGGCAAAGCAAGTTTTTCTTCTCTCTCTCTCTTTCTTTTTTGCCTTCTCCTGAGGTCTCTCCCATGTTCAGTGAGAGAAGTGCACCACCTAATGGTTGCAAATGTCTCCTCGGTCTAACTTTCCTTTGTAATGTGCATTTGTAGTAAATAATGACTGTTCCCTGATTAGAACTGACACTTAGATCATATGATTCATATAATAAACGACTGTCTTCCCACTCAGGTTCACAACAGAGCTCCTGCCTTGTGCTGCAGTGAATACACACTTTGGGTTCTGCATGCTGTTGATTTAAGGCTTACATGAATAATGTTTCCAATCGATTGCTTGTCTGATTGTTTCAGCTGCATAAGCCTAAACATTAAAAGTTCACAATTACAGTATATTACATGTTTTTTCTATTAAAAAAAACAGTTCTTCAGAGTTCAGTTTCCTTAGCAAACAGCTGAACATTTACTAAATTTACATTTCCATATGGCAGGTGTAGAGTTTGAGAAATTAACGAAGATGTTAATATATATTTTATTAATAGTTTTAATGTGATTTTCCTGTTTTTCTACATTTTTTAAACATGTAAATTAGGTTTGTATTTATGTAATGTTTGTATTTCTTAACTTTTTGTCAGTTTTACATGAAATATTTTGAATAACTTGCCAGTTAAAGTGAATTGAATGTTTGTAAGACATCACTCTTACTCACTGTCAACCATACTACTTTGTGTATTTTGCATTTGAGTGGCAGGGCAATGAGAGAAGATAGATGTAACTGTGGAGGACAAATGGGGAAGAACCATGAGAGGGCTTGAGCAGAGAAGAGGAGGAGATGATGAGGGTTTGGTGAGGAAGAGGGCAAGAGGCCCTCTCCCTCACCACGAGCCGGATGGGAAGAAGAAGAGTGACGAAATAGAAAGCAAGAGGAGGACAGGAGGGCGTAGCAAAAGAGCTGGAGAGTCTGTGAGTGTGTGTGAGGGCTAAGTGAGGCCTTTATAAATGAAAGCAGATGCCTGGCATTATGAACTTGTCGGGTCGCAGATGGGGATGGTGGTGATGGAGCACTTGACTCCCTGGATGGTTATCATTCACTCTCCTCCTCTTGCCTCTCAACTGCCTTCCCCAGTGCTTGGAGGGTGAGAGGGAGCAACAGAATAGGATATAAAGAAAAAGAGACAGAATATCCTTAGTGCAAGAAAAAAAGAGGACAAGAAGGTGGACTTTTCAGTAAGTGATTAGTAGCCCTATTTAAATAAAGACCTTGAATACAGTATAAAGAAAAAAGCTTCGTCTTTTTCTTCCTCCTCCTTTTTCCTCCTTTGATGGATCTCCGCGTCGGTGTGCAGTGATTGATTGGATTGCCTGCGGAACATCATCCCGCTAACTAGTCGCTCTGAGAAGGGTGTTTGTCACTGCCATTGATCTTCTTGTAAATGAAATGTTCCATTTCCAGTGCATTTTATTGTTAAATGCAGTTCATTAGCTACTCTGAGATTTATGGCTGTGTCTCGTCTCTCGAGCTGGAACAAAAAAGAGAGAAGGGTTTGAACGAGACAAGGGGGGAAGAGGATGAGAGAGAGGAGAAGGGGAGCAGGGCAGAGCCAAGTGTTGATGGTAAAGAGCTTCTGCAGACTTGATAGATTAGACCCAAGTTTGCCAAGAGATGAGAGATAATGATGGTGAAGAGGAACTGACACCCTGAGCTTCCTGATATACTGTAGGTGCACATGTTGTCATCACTGTGGCAAATTCTGCACTAGACTTCATAAATACTCCTAACATATTCAAGTTATTGGTTTGAACAAAATCCTCTACTACTGAACTACTGTATATCTGCTAATATTTGACTGTTTTGAATGAAATGGATAAAAAGGAGACAACGTGGGCATTGGATTTTCAAACTGTTCAGTTGGTTTGTGGTTGGATACAACACATCTGTGCAGGAATAAATCCTTTAATCACATTGCTGGCCTGCTGATGAGTTTTGGTTTTAATTCATACAGCAGTGGCTTTGTTCAGGAGCAGAGTGTCAATCCGAACACGTTTCTGGTGGTCTCATCAGTATTTTGTCCAAAATGCTGCTAGTGATCCATCTTACCCCACCAGATTACAAACTGGACCCTTGTTGGTGTGGTGTACACTCAGGATTAGTTTCAGTATTAGGAGGATGCAATTACTGTAGTGAACAAAATGTAAACTGCAAAGGGTAAGAGAGGGTTTTGCTTGACTCTTACCTGTGTTTACACCAATATCTTTCTGAACAGACCTAAAAATTGGCTCAAGGAAAATTACAGTTCACCTCTCCAAGCTCGGCAGTAATGATCGTTCATAGTATATCAAGTCTGTGAAGAATAAAATTCTGCCCATATGCCCTTGTGTCACTACCAGGATCCTGTTCTGTCCTTTAGGCCATTGTTAGAAGGTCAGCGCAGCCTTTTAACATTTAATTAGTCCTCAAACGTGGTCACTAGCCCACTGGTTCTGATCCCCTGACTATCTGTAAAAATCTGAGCAGATAAAGTACATGAACAACTCTCTGCTCTCCCTCAGCGATTATCGCACATGTGCCCTTGATCGAAGCTTCAGTTGTTTCACTGGAGCCGCTGAGTGGCCAGCAGCAGAGGACTGCAGCTCCCGGATGTGAATCAGGAGCAAGCATGCTTCCCTAATCATCGCTAGTTAGAAAATATTAAACTTTCTTATGGTTTGTACATAAGGAGGCGAGGAGCTGATGTGCACACCTCCCAGATATCAGCAAAGCAGACTGATTGGTTGATCCAGCTCCTATTATGTTCCGGCTCCAGCAACATATGTCAGACCAATAGACAACCTTGTCAGCAGTTAAACTAGGTGCTAAAAACAATGAAGCTTGATTCTGAAAATGCAGAACCTTTTTTTTTATACCAGATTTTCCCAGAAGGGTAAAGGTGAGATCTGTAAACTCTGTGGTTAGGAGACGACCTGCTCTACCTCCTGATCTACAGCCGCCCAGTTTTGTCTTACAGGTCTACAATGAGAGAAGCAAAATTTTGTCATCTCTCTCGCTCAGTTAAAATGGTCGTTTTCTAAGCCTTTCTTATCTTTTACCAACATCTGACAGATTAAAATAAATGTTTTACTTGCGCTTTGCTCTTGACAGTGAATTTGCAGCTTGATGTGGCCTTAGCTCTTGTTAAAGAGTTTCTGTTAAAGAGTGAGACCACACCACTGTTTGCCTGTCAAACAGTCTGCAGGAGCAGGATAATAGCAAAAGCAAACTTTGCTCATACTCTTTGTTCTTAATAGAAAGGAGGCAAGTGTGTGCGTACGCCTCTGCTCAGATCCGCTGAACCCTGTCAGTAGAGCAGTCTTCTTATTCTGACAGTGAAATATGATTCAGTCTCATAAGTTGTTGTAGTTTTTATCATGACCAGTTCTTAAATCTATTAGTCTGTTTGTATAGCACTTTTCATACAAATATAATGTAACACAAAATCAATGAAAAGCCAAGTTAAAAAGATAGGTCTTGAGTTTATTTTTAAAAAACCTTTAACATTCTCAGCTAATCTTAGGTCAGTCAGAAGGAAATTACAAAGACCTGGACCATAAAATTGAAAAGATGCTTCACCACTGGTTTTAGTTTTAACTTTAGGCATATGCAGAAGGCAGCTACCAGAAGACCTGAGGGTCCGAGGAGGTTCCTAAACCTGATGCATAAGTAGGACCAAGACCATTAAGGGCTTTATAAATCAACAAAAGAATTTTAAAATCTAATCTGTGACCAACAGGTAGCTAACGCAGCGACTTGAAGATCGATGAAATATGTGCGCTCTCTTCCTGAGTGCTGAGTGTTATTTAATATGAGATGCGAAGCTAATTTATGAGTCAGAAATTGCTCCCAGATTTTGTTGGCAAGGATTTGATGCATGCTTAGTTTCACATAAAGTTTCTCTGAGTCTCTGTACCAATGGCCAAAATTAGTTTTATCCTTATTCAGGTGTAAAAAATGTTGTGCCATCCATGGAAAGCAGAAGAAGGAAACCCCAGGAACACATTTTTAAAGAGAGACCAATAAAAGAAATGCTGAATGAGAGATTGCATTTCATTACAGGAGCAAATATGGGTGTGATGCCATGACTGTGACTCTCTATAGCTGATCATAATTTAAAATGTCAACACAAAAGGCTGACAGCAGCAGGGATTGTACAGCTTAGCCATATCAAGGCAGTTCAGTAGACCTGGTGTTATCTTGTTTTACCACAGTATTTATTCTCCTAACAGTTACTCCTTTTCTATAAATACAGTTGAATCTATAGCAGAGCATTTGGTTGCAGCAGACTGATTTTGTTAACCAGATGTTTATGCCACTTTTCCTGTAGAACACTTACTGATTTATTGACTCCATAAGCTTCCAGTAACACTTTGCTAACTATATTAAAAATTCATAGCAGTAACCACATATGAGGAAAAATGCCAGGCTACTTCTCAGGAGTATCACCTTTTGTTTAAACATCAATCGACGAGAAACTGAGGGTTGCTTTTGTCTTTTTAAGAGGTGGTATTAGGCACAGTGGAGCAGTTTCTTACTATGAGCTGACACAACTAAGGTTAGCTTGGCATTTTCAGTAGGCATGATGCTTCTTGTGGATGTTGATAAAACCTAAAGGAGCAATTGATCAGCTAAAGTGGCAAACATTTCACAGTAATGTTAAGAAGAGGCGATGTGTGAGGCACTAACTTTTGTTAAAGGAAAGACAACATAAAGCCAAACAAACTCTATTAAAACAATTTACATGTATATGTGATACAATTATGTTGCAAATTAGTGTAGATACAGTAGATATGACTGTCTCTTGGGTAGAAATGTAGTAGAATAAGTCAAAGAAGTCAGTGACGCTGCAGGCAAAGCTGAATTGGACACTGCAGTGAAACCCAGGGGACATTTAGGAATATATGCTTACAGTTCCTGAATTATAACTGCTAACAAGCTCATGAGATAGAGCAAATGTCATTGTTAACTACGAGCACATCAGCAGCAACATCAGCCTTTGTTCTTTGAGGGTGCTAATAGGAGCTTGGAAGTCAGGCCTGCACTTTTAAATAGGACCTCGCTGGTCCTCATTGCTGGCGTGTTCACAGAACCTTATTGGAGAAATGAGCAAGAAATGTCCCCATCTGACTGCAGAGGTACAGCTGAGCAAGGCAGTACAGTTACTCCTGTAACCCCTTAATACATTTTTTTTTCTTTTATCTAGTAAAGAAAAGAGACAAACTGTCCGTATTTGTGAATATCTTGATGTCTTCTTCCTATTCTTGTAGTAATGGTAATTGAGACCTGATGCGACTGTTAGTCATTGATTGCCTCCAAAATATAAAGAGAACAGGGCATATTAAGAAAAAAATATTAACACCCTTTGTTATTTATCTAAAGTGGTAATTGACAAGATTTGTTTTGCCCTCAGCCCATGTTTAGTGAGAGGTATCGAGGTATTGCTGTTGTGTCTCTGCACTGCACTTATCAATCAGACAGTTTGGTACAGGAACTCGACACATAGTGTCGTCTGGATAACGGTGAGAAAACAGCTGAGACAAAGTGATGTTTAGTTTGCAAAGTCTGAAGGTACCTACAGTATCTGTTACTGGGATTAACATGGAGACATTTAATGTCCTTCTGTCTTTCACGAGGCTTTTTGACTTTCAGCTTTAATTTTCCAATACAAGAAGATACTGACATCACTTTTTTTTTTTTTTTTTTTTTTTTTTTTTTTTTTTGGAGAATGCGTGATCCTCTTGCCTGGAGGAGCTTGTACTGAGTCTGACTGTAGCAGGTA